CCTGCGCTCCGCAAGTCAGCGCCTGCGGGCGCTGGGAGGTCGGCCGGGGTGGACTCGGACCAGCGCGAGGTGATCGGGTCCGGCTGCCGCGACGGCCGCAAGTGACTGCCACCTTCCAATGTCCAGCTCAGCCAGCAGTATTCGTAGCCTGCGCTCTCGGACACCGTCGACACGTCCATCAGAAGCGGCGCGGGGTGCGGAAGGCGCGCGTGGCAAATTCGACCTGCTTGCGCGAGGTCGTAGGCGCGGCGACGCATGCCGGCCAGACCCTCAACCCAGCGCCCTCGCTCTGCAAAATGCGCTGCGCGGAACAAATGAGGGGCAGGTCGGCGTGGAGCTCCTGAGCGGACCCGAAATTGCAAGTGAGGACGAGGTCGGTGGCGTGAGAGGCGCGGCCCGGCACCCGGCGAGCAGCAGCCTCGCCGAATGCGCGCGGGTCGCCCAAATCTCCGGCCTAGGGCCAGCGGGCCCGCGCCGCGCTAGCAGCGTCAGGCGCGACCGACAGCTCGAGCCCGACGATGTCGAATGCCACCCGGCCACGCCCGCGGCCGCCGACCTCCATGAGCACGAGGAGGTCGCGACCGTTAGCACGGCCGCCTGCCGGCTCACGCAGAGCGGCGGTGCGACCCACAGCGGCGTGCCTGGATGTGCACGCGACGCCCCCGCCATTCTCGCTGGCGTCCCAGGCTGTCGCGACGTGCGAGATGGGACTGCGTAGGTCGTACTCGAAGCACGGGCGCAGGGCGAGAGCCAGGACGAGTCCCCGACGTGCGCCCTCTGGCAACGCGCGGGGGCCTCCGCCCCAGTGGGACAGTATATGCCACGCCTCCTGGAAGCAGCTCGTGCACTCCTTACGGTAGGACGCGGCGCGCGCCCGATGGCCGACGACGATCTCCAAGTGCTTGCGCCGCACCACGGGCGATGCAATGCAACGGCAAGAATGGCGGGCAAGTCGCCCGACCCTCTTCGGCGCGAGCCGAAGGCGCCCGTCGGCTCCATCCAGCAGCGCTCCGAGCCTGGAGACATAACTGCAATCAGTGCCGCTGTTGGCACTGAGCAGCGCCGCCCGCTCGTTGCGACGCCCGCGGGCGGCCTCCGAAAAGCGGGAAGCCTGGGATAGGTCCTGGCGCCGCTGCTCCTGCATGTCGATCAACTTGCCGTAGTCGGCGTCGTCGCAGTAGACCTGCCACACCTGGTTGAACTCGTCGTCCCTGGAGCGGGTCGCTGGAGACGGCTTGTCCTTCCAGACCTCGCGACGCAGGGCCAATCCGCGCGGGTTCGCGCCCCCTGCCATCATAAGCCGGCGATGCAGGTGCTGGAACAGGCCCATGGGATTGCACCAGCCCATCGGCACCGCGGTCGCGCCAAGCCAGACGGACTCTCTCCTCCAGTCGCAGATGCCCGAGTCGATGGGGGTCAAAGGCGACGTCGACGCAGAAGAGCGCTGCAGTGAGAAAAAGTCAAATGCCCCTTATGTCATCGTGGGCTCATTCAAGCTCCCCCCCCCCCACGTCGATAAGGATATCGCGCCATTGCGCGTAAAATAAAAGCTTTGCAACGTCGAGGGACAAGTCGCTCATGAGATCGTTAGACGCGGCGAGGTTCATGATTAACCTGAGCTGCGGCTGTCTTGCCAGAGGTCCGCCGGCGACGAGGTCGTCCTTGACCACGCCGAACAAGCCGTCCACGAATGGCCCCCCTGGATGCGCAGCAAGTCGCGGCGCCGCAAAGAAGCCGCGAGGCCCCCCTCAAGAAGACCTCGGCCGATCCGCAGGATCTCCGCAGGGGAAGCCATGACCTTCCCGGGGTTCGGCCGCGACTGAAAGCCACCCAGCGGCAGCATCATCCCGCGCGGCTCCTGGAAGCATCGCCCGGCGCGGGGCTCTCCGAAATCAACGGGCCGCAGCTTTCCGCGCCGGTCGGCAGGAGGGGGCGCAAACTCTACCTGCTCCCAGGTCAGCTCCAAGGTCCTCTGGACGACGTCTCCGCCGTAGCCCACCCCCCGCTCGGCGACGAAGCTCACGGGGCGCCTCGGCGGACGCGCCCATGCCGGGCGCGGTCGCGAAGCTGCGGACCTTGCGCTCCGGGTGCCAGAAACACACCAGTCGAGCCATCGAAGGCCCCTCTGGTGGCAGCGCGCACGGCTGCTGGCCAATGGCGCGCGAACCGTCCCAGAGCGCGTTCAATCCCAACATGGCGAGGAGCAGCCACTCGTCAAGCCCGACAGCGGGCCTCGGCAAGGCGCACCTGCCGGCGTCGCCCTCGGCGAGGGGGCGGGCGCGCTCGGCGCGCTGGCGGCGCGGAGACAGACCCAGCGAGGCGGCGAAGGGGAGCAGCTCGCGCGAGGGCGGCGGCGAGCTGGACCGAAGATGGCCCACCAGCGCAAGACATGCAAGCATATCCCTGCCCGGTGAACTCCAGCAGCATATTGCCGAACGCGCCGATGCCGACGCCCCCAACCAGCCCTTCCGCAAGGCTGGTCTCCGCCCCCGAGCGGGGCGGGCTCGCAGAGGACGGCGGGCAAACCGCCCGCCTGGGCCCTTGATGGGGGCCCTTGCCACTGCCGCGACGCCGCAGAAACCGCGCGCGGGCTGAGCGCGGATCCTGGGCTCGAGGGCGCGCGCCTTTGCCCTGACCATTATTGCCCCTCTCGTCGCCGCCCCTGCCGGCGCCCCGATGCGGCGAGGCCTGGCCCCGAGGACTGGCCTTTGGACCCCTCGTGTCCGAGCCATGGCTGCCGCCTCCGCCGCTGCTGCCGCGCGGAAGGCTCCTCGGGTAGACGCTCGCGGGCTCCGATGGGTCGAGAAAAGCCCGTGGGTGACTTCCTCCGAGTGGCGCGCCCTCGTGTTTGCGGAGCTTCGCCGCGGCGCCGAACTCTCCAGCCCTGGCTGGACGGTTGGACCTGGGCACCTGGCGACTGAGGAGCGTCCGCGTCGAGACGCCACGCCCCAGGCGCGGCGTCGACCTTGCGGGGAAGCGAAACCTCCGCCGTTAGGGATGGCCTCAGGGCGGGTTTCCGGTCCAAAAGCTCGCCCCCGCCGAGCCCCTAGCGCACGGCGCCCCTGGGCTGACCGCGATCCTGCCCCTGAGTTCTGCGCGCTTCAGTTCCTGCTGCTCGGCGCGGTAGAGCTCCGCCCGCCCGTCCTCCTCCATGGCCGACACGAGCTTGTCGTGCAGCGGATTCAGATGCCGGGCCGCCGCCCAGCCCTCCTTCTGGGCCATCTTCACCGCCTTGAACTGCTGCGACAGAAGGTCGATGCAGTACGCGACGTTCCCGTCCAGGAGCGAGTTCAGGCACGTGGCCACCGTGCGGAGCTCGGCCTCGTTCCACTTGGTCAGCTCGGGGCCGAGCTGACGGATGAGCTGAGCGGTGAGCTGCCTCATCGCCACTGGTCCGGTGGAGACCCTGGGATGGCCGGGCTCCCGCGGCAGGTACGTCCGCATCTTCACAAGCAACCTCTCCGTGAGGTGGCCGGGGCGCCGCTCCATGGTCAATCTGACCTGCTCGCGCTTGGAGCGACGCCCCTCGGGAAAATCCCGCCCGCGGGATTCGCGTGAAAAACTCCAAGAAGACCTCTCAGAACGAGAACGGTCGCGGTCACTCAGGCCGCCTCGGCGCGAACGGCGCCGGCTACGCGACCTGGCGCGCTCGCCGCACTCCTGGGAACGCCTGGGAAGGGCACGACTGCCGCTGGGCGCCTGGCTGCACTTAGCCGCGAGGGCCTCCGCAAAGCTGCGGGGGGGGCTGCCAGCCCCGTCGCCAGTGCCACGGCGACCGTCAGCGCGGGGGTGCCTTTGAGGCGGCTCGCCGGCGGCGTCGGCGTCGACGACGACTCCCGCGCGTCTCCCCCGTCCAGCGGTGTCTGCAGGCTCCTGGGGTGGCGCGCCGGCAGGCGGAGGCAGCGGCGGACCGCGAATCCGGGCACGCATGCCCACCAGCTTGTCACGCAAACCGCCCTTCTCGCCAAAATTGGCGTGCACAATGCCCACGCCACCTCCAGCACCCTTGGCACTGGATGCGTCCCAGACGCTCGCTGGACCCGGCCGCTTAACAGCACCAGCTGGATGGCCAAGCCCAGCGCCCGCAGCAGAGGGAGCGCAAGCTCCAAGTCCTTCTCGGCGATGAATTTCCAACACCCGGCGTGAAAGAGCTGCTGGTTGGGATCTTCCTTGGTGAACTCGTCGGCGTGCACCGTGCAGAAGTGCAGCCACGGAGGTCGCTCCCCAGAAAACATCGGGTAGAAGTCGATCTCGTCCTCCGCACTGTCGCTCTCCAAATACGTGGCCGAGTACATGGAGCCGTGCACCATATCGTGGACCTGCTCGCGGTCAGTGCGGAAACGAGCACGGCCATGGGCCGTGAAGAGCTCGATGAGACCCCTCGCCGGAAGAAAATGGGCCGCGCGAAGGGCGTGTCCACCTCCACGGCTGGCGCACCTGCCTCGCGGGTCACACGGCTCCCCTGTAGCAGCGCGTGCCCCGAGAGGCGGCCGACCGCCGCCGCCTGGGTCACCCCTGCCTCGCGTTGCACGCGGCGCAGAGACAGCAGGGCGCAACCGAGCAGGAGGCGGGGCTCAGGCAGCGGCAGGGCGCTGCAAGACGCCCCTCCGCGATGACATTCACCGCGGGGTGATGGAGAGCTGCTGAGGCGCTGGTGCGCCCTCGAGTCCCAGACAAGTTATCGATCGCTCTCGCGCGCGCGGGTGGGCAGCGCGCGCAGAGCGGAGGCACCACCCTTGACTCAAAATGGCTATGGAACAATCCTGCTGCTGCTCGTGTGCTATTTACCGAAGCCGATGTTAGGTCCCGAGGTCTGGTTAGGGGCCCCCGAACGCCGAGCATAGCGCAGAACCTCCCGCCGTGACTTCTTCGTGACTCGAGGGGGAGGTCTGGGCATTGCGGGCCTCCCAAAAAAGGCGACTGCTCCTGCCTCTGCCCCCTCTTCCGCCCAACTATCCTTTCGCTCGCCGCCCTCCCTCCCCGGGCCGGCGCGCGCCCCCTCACTCCTCCGAGACGGGCGCCTGAGGCGACCCCTCGTCGGCGCCGCCATCCGCGTTGTTGCCGATCGGTTCCTGCTGCACGGGCTGGCCGGTCCTCTTCCTCCTCCTCCTCCTCCTCCTCCTCCTCCTCCTCTGACTCGTCGTCGTCGGTCCCAAGGGACTTGAGGAGCAAGGAGGAGGAACGTCAAAATTGAGTCGATCCCCTTCCCTGTACCCCCTTCCCTGCTGGCGTGAAGGGGGCGGTGAACTCAACCTCGACTCTCCTCCTCCTCCTCCTCCTCCTCCTCCTCCTCCTCCTCCTCCTCCTCCTCATCATGGAGGGAGGGTCTGCTCGTGGTCGTCGTCGTCGTCGCCGTCGTCGCCATTGTCGTCGTCGTCGCCGTCGTCGCCGACGTCGACGTCGTCGTCGTCGACGTCGTCAGTCCCAAGGAAGTTGAGGAACAAGGAGATGGCACGTCGTAATTAGTGAAGTCGACTCCCTGCCCTCTATCCCTTCCCCGTCTCCTCCTCCTCCTCCTCCTCCTCCTCCTCTTGGAGGGGGAGGCCGCTCGGCGCGGCAGAAGCACGGTCTCGAGGTGGCGGTCAGGCGCATAGCGCCGCGGCGCGGCTGGAGCGCGCGGCCTGCGGGCTCCTGCAGTAAGAGGCAGCGGCTTGCGGTCAGGCGCCCAATTGAACAGATAGGCATCCCCATCCTCCCTCTCCATCCTCCCTCTATATCTTCTTCTTCCAAACTCATCCCTCCCTCGTCTCCTCCTCTGTCCCTATCTCCTTCCTCCCTCTCCATTTACTTATTCATCCCTCCTCTCTCCCTCTCCTCCTGCTGCTCCTCCCCCTCACATTTCTACATCTGCCTTATTTTGCCACGCAGTTGTAACGGGCGCAGCCTCGAGTCTCCGACGCGTCCTTCCGCAGGCTCCAGCGCGCATGAACGCACGACGCGGCCACCGTGGGCACATGAACAGGAACTGATGTGTAGAGCGCGCGCGCTTCGCGCGATATCTGCGGGCGAACGAGTCTCACCAGAATACGATGCAACAGACATGCAATGTACATACGCCACCGTACCCTCGAGGCACGAGTTGGAGTGTCTTCAGGTCCCTTCATGAATCTCCTTGAGCCTCAGTCCTCAACCCTGAAGATTTTTCAAAATAGCCCGGGCCGAAAATTGCTAAATCGGCCAGGGCGCGTCGCGTGACCACTGAGGCCTGGGGCATCTTCTCGCGTGACTTGTTCGGGCCCAAAACGGACTAAGAGGGCCCCACGAGCCCCCGAGACGTTCTTGGAGGGCCCCGAATCGCCGCACGATCAAGACGGCCCCAGCGGCTCCGAGACGCCCGAAGAGAAACACAAGAACCTTCCCAAGAGGGCCCCGTGAGGCCAACATCATTGATTTTCTTATGTGCTTCTGCTTTTCCAACCATCCTCTGTGGTGTTGGGGCCTCGTTTTGAAAAGGCAGCGCCCCGCGTTCCTCTCCATCATCCTTTCCTCCTCCCCCTCCTCCCCCTCCTCCATCATCATCAACATCATCGTCATCATCGCCATCACCATCATCTGCAATATCATCATCGCTGTCACCATCACCATCATCGTCATCATCTTCGCCGTCATCATCACTATCATCGACACCAGTTTCGGCACACCCCACACACTTTTCGTGACCCCATAGGGAGCTCCACCGAGGGCCCCAGTGGCAAAGTCCGCATGCGGTTTCACTTTCATTTCGGCACAACCCTCACATGCTTCGTGGCCCCATAGGGAGATACACCGAAGGCCCCAATGGCACAGTTCGCACGCGGTTCCATCCCCATGATGGCACACCCCTCACACGCTTCGTGGCCCCAGGGGGAGCTTCACCGAAGGCCCCAGTGGCAGGGTTCGCATGCGGTTCCATCCTCATGTTGGCACACCCCTCACACGCTTCGTGGCTCCATAGGGAGCTCCACCGAAGGCCCCAGTGGCAGGGTTCGCATGCGGTTCCACCCCCATTTTGGCACACACCCATCACACCATCCGTGGCCCCATAGGGAGATACACCGAGGGCCCCAGTGGCACAGTTCGCACGCGGTTCCACCCCCACTTTGGCACACCCCTCGCACTGTTCGTGGCCCCATAGGGAGCTCCACTGAAGGCCCCAGTGGCAAAGTTCGCATGCGGTTCTACCCCCATTTTGGCACACCCCTCACACGCTTCGTGGCTCCATAGGAAGCTCTACCGAGAGCCCCAGTGGCAGGGTTCGCATGCGGTTCCACCCCCATTTTGGCACACACCCATCACACGTTCCGTGGCCCCATAGGGAGCTCCACCGAGGGCCCCAGTGGCACAGTTCGCACGCGGTTCCACCCCCACGTTGGCACACCCCTCGCACTGTTCGTGGCCCCATAGGGAGATACACCGAAGGCCCCAATGGCACAGTTCGCACGCGGTTCCATCCCCATGATGGCACGCCCCTCACACGGTTCGTGGCCCCATATGGAGTTTCACCGAAGGCCCCAGTGACAAGGTTCGCATGCAACTCCACCCCCCACCATTTCGGCGCATCCATTACACGGCTCGTGGCATCAAACGGAGCTTCACCGACGACGGTACTCACACGGCTACTGGAGATGTCGTGGCAGTTCGGATCAGATTGAGGGGGGTCAGGATGATAATGGTGATGCTGATGCTGATGCTGATGCTGATGATGATGAGGATGATGAGGATGACGATGATGACGAGGATGGTGGTGATGATGATAGTGATGATGAGGATGAGGATGGTGACGATAGCGATGCCAATGGTGGTGGTGATGATGATGATGATGATGCTGCTGATGATGATGTGGGTGAGGATTAGGACGAGGACGATGATGCTGATTAAGGGTCAAGATGGAGATGGAGATGAAGATGAAGATGATGATGATGACGATGATGATGACGACGACGATGATGATGATGATGACGATGATGATGATGACGACGACGACGACGACGACGATGATGATGATGATGATGATGATGATGATGATGATGATGATGATGATGATGATGATGATGATGATGATGGTGGTGGTGATGACGACCACACGTACGAGGATGACGAAAGGGGATGATGAGGATTGTGGGGCAAGCAGGCCCCCTAGGGAGCTCCACCGAAGACGGTACTCACACGGCTACTGGAGCTCTCGGTCTTGCGCCGCGCCCGCAGCCATGGACATTGGAAAGCGCGGGCAAAGAGGGAGAAAAGGAAGGGGAGGAAGCGGGGGCGATCCACGAGAGGGGCGTGCCGACATGGGTGTCGCGGCGCGCAGACGCTGCCATCGGAGTTTTCGGGGAGAATGCTCAGAGTCAGACATACTCAAACCGTTCACTTTCATATACATTTACACCAGGCTTAGTCATGCTCGCATTCAGGCACATAAACTCGCTCACACGCAGACTCATTCACAATCAGACTCACTCGCGCTCAGTCCGAGACGTCCCAAGAGGCCACCAAGACCGCTCCCTGACAGCCCAAGAGGCCCCCAAGACGGCCCAAGAGGACCCCAAGACTGCCCAAGAGGCACCCAAGAGGCCCCAAGAGGGCCCGAAGAGGGGCCCAAGACGGGGAACACAAACCGAAAGTCCGAGCCTTCCACCGCAAGAGGCGCCCAGAGCGCCCCACGAGGCCCCCGAGAGGCCCCAAGAGGCAGCCAAGAGGTCCTTTCAGAGGCTTCAAAACAGCCCGCCAAAGACCTCACAACTGCCTCCTGGAGGCATTCGCGAGGCCTCGACGAGATTCCAACAAGTACCCAAGAGGCATCAGACCCAGTGGCGGGATGGGCCGAAGGCCATTCGATCCGCCGCCCCCCGTTGGCTTGCCACAGGGGTGCCCGGCGTGCTAAATCCTATCGCTCTTGGTTTGGGTTTTTTTTCCAAAGAGCTCGCATCTGGGCCTTCGGCCCGTCCCGCCGGCCACCCGGAAGGCCGCACAAAGGACCACAAAGGCACCACAAAGGACCTCAACGTCCCCAAAAAGTTATCCTGGCGAAGGACCCAACCAAATGCAATTGTGATTAACGCAATTGTGAGCCCCGCCTTCGGTGGAGCCCCCTATGGGGCCACGAAACGCGTAATGGGTGCGCCGGAATTCGTGCGGTGGCGCAGTGCGAACCCTGCCTGGGGCCTTCGGTGGAACGTGGAACTCCCTGCGGGGTCTCGAAGCGTGTGAGGGGTGTGTCGAAATCGGCGCGGTGGCGCCATGCAAACCCTGCCGCTGGGACCTTCGGTGGAGCTCCCTGTGGGGCCACGAATCGTGTGAGAGGCGTGCCGACATGGGTGCGGTGGCGCCGTGCGAACCCTGCCAGTGGGGTCTTCGGTGGAGCTTCCTATGGGGCCACGAAGCGTGTGAGGGGCGTGCCGACATGGGCGCGGTGGCGCCATGCGAACCCTGCCGCTAGGGCCTTCGGTGAAACTCCCCATGGGGCCACAAAACATGGGAATGGAGCGCGTCAACATCCATGAGGTGGCGCCATGCGAACCCTGCCGCTGGGGCCTTCGGTGGAGCTCCCTGTGGGGCCGCGGAACGTGTGAGGGGTGCGCCGAAATGCGGCGGGGCCGCCATGTGAACTTTGCCACTTGGGCCTTCGGTGGAGCTTCCTATGGGGCCACGAAGCGTGTGACGGGTGCGCCAGAATGGAGCGGGGCCGCCATGCGAACTTTGCCACTGGAGCCTTCGGTGGAGCTCCCCATGGGGCCACGAACATGGGGCGGGGCCGCCATGCGGACTTCGCCATTGGGGTCTTCGGTGGAGCTCCGTATGGGGCCACGAAGCGTGTGAGGGGTGCGCCGAAATGAAGCACTGCGGCCATGCGAACTTTGCCACTGGGGCCTTCGGTGGAGCTTCCTATGGGGCCAGGAAGCGCGTGAGGGGTATGCCGAAACAGATGCATGCAGAGGGCAGAGACGAGGGAGGGAGGAGGGCGAGGAAGAAGGAAAGAAGGAGGAGGGACGCGGGGCGCTGCCTCTTCAACATTACTCCGACGGTAGGACCCCGCATGCGAATCTATTTAGCTTGCCTGGGGATCGACTCCTGCCCCCTCCCTTGTCCCACCTACTCCTTCCTCCTCCTTCTCCTCCTGCCTGCTCCTCCTCCTGCCTCAAACCCTGCCTCCTCCTCCTCCTCCTTTTCCCTCTCCCTCCTCCTCCTCCTCCTCCTCCTCCTCCTCCTCCTCATCTCCTCATCTCCTCATCTCCTCATCTCCTCCTCCTCTCCTCCTCCTCCTCCTCCTCCTCCTCCTCCTCCTCCTCCTCTTATTCCTCCTCCTCCTCCTCCTCCTCCGCCTCCGCCTCCTCCTCCTCCTCCTCCTTCTCCTCCTCCTCCTCGTCCTCCTGCCTCCTCCTTAGGCCCCCTGCCTCCTCCTGAGGCCTCCTGGGGCCTCTTGGGGCCTCCTGGAGCCTTCTGGACCTCGCAGTACCTCCTGGGGCCTCCTAGTGGATTCCTCCTCCTCCTCCTCCTCCTCCTCCTCCTTCTCCTCCCCATCGCTCTCTATGTATACCTCCCTCTCTCTCTCTCTCTCTCTCTCTCTCTCTCCCTTCTCCTCCTCCTCCTCCTCCTCCTCCTCCTCCTCCTCCTCCCTCCTCCTCCTCCTCCTCCTCCTCCTCCTCCTCCTCCTCCTCCTCCTCCTCCTCCTCTCCCGCCTCCGCCTCATCCTGCTCGTCTCCATTCGCCTTCTCGTCCTCCTCCTCCTCCTCCTCCTCGTCCTCCTGCCTCCTCCTTAGGCCCCCTGCCTCCTCCTGGGGCCTCCTGGGACCTCTTGGGGCCTTCTGGAGCCTTCTGGGCCTCGCGGTATCTCCTGGGGCCTCCTAGTGCATTCCTCCTCCTCCTCCTCCTCCTCCTCCTCCTCCTCCTCCTTCTCCTCCAGAGGCCTCAGGCCAGAGGCCCCGCCTGAGAATTCAGGCCTGAGGTCAGAGGCTCTCGCCGACGCTAGCTGATCATACAGGAGTCGTGCGCGGCTAGAGGCTCGCATACCTGACGAGGCCAACACTCTCGCCGCGCATACTTCGACGAGGCAAATGGCCAAATAGCTCCCCGGGCGGCCCCCAACAGAGCTCCCTCGCAATTCATTCGCCCGTCGTACAGGGACTTTCGGTTTATAGGGTTCTAAAGACCCCCCCACCCCCTCTGCCAATATCTCTTGGCGTTCCTGAGGTGTGTCGGCGCTCGATGGGCGAGATTAGAAACCGTAGCGCGGGCCAAAAGGGCACCAGCAACAAGAATGAAGCGTATCCTGCACTCCCTTCGTGTCATCAGCCACCTTCATGTTCGGATTCGCTGCGGCTCCATGTGTCGCCTGCGCACTGGAGACAGCAAGGCGCAAGTGCGACTGCAAGCGGAACCAGAAAAGTTACAACATCTTTCACAGCACACGCTGACCGTGACTCGTCGCTCACGTGTGCTGCGGGAAGGGCGTCCCTTCTTCCTCTCGGCCGTCCCCCCCCTCTTTGCCCGCCGGCCAATTCGCAAGTTAGTGCCCCTTTCTAGCTTCTCGCTGGAGCGGAGTCCGCCGCCTCGCCGCTGACGAAAAAAGTGTTGCGAGAGGGGTTGAACATGTGACGCCCCATTCCGCCTCGTAATCTTCGTCCTGCCTACCCTACCTCCTCCCCATCATCATCTCTACTCTAGCACGTCATCCGACATGTCATTCCTCGCGCAGCATGGTAGCGCACTCCGCGGAACTCTGTCAACACTGTCTGCGCAAACAGTGGCACTGGCCCTGAAGATGCTGCCAGACAGGAAAACACTGGTGTCGCAATCCACCCTCCCCATACTCCTCCTCCTCCTGCTCCAGGGGATCGAGAAGAAGAAGAAGAAGAAGAGGAGGAAGAGGGGCTGGCGAGGAGAGGTTCTCCTCGCCAGCCCCCTCCTCCTTCTTACTCTCCGTCGTACAGTAACATCTGATAGCAAGGATGCGCGATAAGGATGCATGCCCCTTGGACGCCCATGTTGAAGCTTTCCGAACGGGGCTGGCCATCGAAAGGAGTTAAGGATGGACCGACGAAGGAAGGATGCAAAAGTACCCGGGGGAAGATCACCCATCCTTATTATCGGTTTCGACTGTACCCGCCAGTCGGAAGTAGATCGAGCATAAAGTAGGAAGGCGGCTAAAGTAGATTAGGTTAGGGCCCACCCACATAGCAACAACATACAGCAAACACATGTCGATTATTGAAGTAGAAATGCGCTTGAAGTAGATTCGGATCTGGAGATCCAAAAAGGACGTTCTTTCACCGATCGGCGTGTACCCTTGGAAAGGTTACCCGTCCTTGTCATCGGTTTCGATTTCTTGCCCCCCCGTGCTGCAATATGCGCCCCTGCCTGCGACTGCGAGGGGTAGCGGGGCTTTTTTCTCTGACGGCGACCACTGTGAAGCCATTGTGCAGGCGCCAGACTGGCCGCTCGCCAGAAGAAGAATCGGCGACAAAAACCCATGACGCAACACAGCGTAACCTATGTCACACCCACCGGGGAAACGGACACTCCCTGGATGCCCACCACGTATCTAGCGCAACCTATGGAATAGAACCATCGCGCGCGTTCAAGTTCTAGCCAGGCTTGATCGGCTAACTCATGTCATTTCATTTTGGTCGCTTCTTGCGTCCATGGACTCCCTTGGAGGCCCTGCGCAAGCATCGGAATCGTATAGAAGGCGAAACGCGGAAACGCGGAAATCATTACTTTCCTTTCGGTATTCAACGATTTGGGGCCCTCAAAAGCTTCCTGGGTTCCTTTTGGGAAGTGAGAAGGGGTCTGGATTGTGGTCTGTTGTGCAAAAGTAGACCGGGGGCCAAACTTGCAACAAAAACAAGAATTGCGTGATTTCCATGTTTTTCCAGTTCCTCGGCGCTGTTCGGCGCTGTTTTTCGTTTGTGCCTCGCGGGTTGTGTTCGCCGGGCCCCTCAGGGGTGTGGGATCTTCCTGTCCCCCTGGGGGTTCTGGAGGCCTCCTGGAGGCCTGGAGAGCCGTCGGAAGGGTGTCGCGGGCTGCGCGGGAGCGTGTTGGGCCGTTCTCTACGTTCTGGGTGCTCCTTGCGGTCGTCATGGGCTGTCCTTCGGCGACTTGGGCTCTTCCCCTCGGAAGACGGGAGGCGCGGTACCGGCCAGATGTCAGGGGATGTGTAGGACCCCCGAGTAGGAGTCCCACTTTTTTAAAAAGGGGGGAATCTGGGAATTCCTTTTTTTCTATCAAAATCCTCGATCTTCGAAGGTTGGAAGTTGGAAAACGTGCGAAGGTGAACAACATTTAGTTTCCTAAACTCGCGGGGAACTTACTCCTGTTGCGACACCAGGCTCGAGGTTGCCGCTACTGCTGTAAAACCAGCTGGCACGGACTAGAGCCACGAGACTCTCGTCGCGACCAGGAATCGATTCAAAACGCACCCCGTGAAGTTAAAAAAGGGGGGGGGCTGGGAGGAAAGCTTGAGCAAGAGCGGTTGCAGGCAAGAGACAAGCAAGGCCCGCAAGACACGACATGCGTTACTGAAGTCACAGCAATATCGTGGTACCCACAAACATGCGGTTGTTCTAAAAACTCGCGGAGAACATACTTCTGTTGCGACACCAAGCTCGAGGCTGCCGCCACTGCTGTACAACCAGCCGGTACGGACTAGAGCCACGAGACTCTCGTCGCGACCAAGAATCGATTCAAAACGCACCCCGAATCGAGTGCCGGGTCTAGGCCCGAATCGGTAGTTCACAGCGCAGCGGAGTCAACCTCATCGTCTCTCTCCGAAGGGCGGACGCGGATAGCAGGGCACGGGCAAGCGCGGAGGCGAGAGCCCGAGGATACGCGGCCGAAGCGGCAGTAGCTCGAGCACCCTCGACAACAACATGCTTGCGGCCTGTCGCGGAACAAAAACCGTGCTTTCCCGTGCATCGAATCTCCAACGGGCAGCCTAGAGGACCTAAATCCAGCTCGTCACCACAACCGAACGCCAGTCGCGTAGCTTTGCGGTGTTGTGACCCGAACTGGCACTGGTGAACGTCGCAGATTCTCACACGCGCAGACTTATGAACTTCGCACAGACGCGGATCGTGCCACATGCAACTGGACTGCGGATGCTCGGTGCAGAAGGGAACGCGCGCACGCACGCGAGCTTGCACTACCCTGATCATGAAATCAAGGAAAATATTCCCTGGTCTCACCTTTGCCCTTCGATCACTCGGAAGCCTGGGGAGACCTCTGGGGCACTGCTGGCTGCGGATCGGACAGGGGGAATTCTGAGCGATTGAACAAAGATGCGCACGGCGGCGCCATCATCACGGCCAGCACCTCCTGTTGCCGCAAACTTCGCAGCACTCTGGCTTGGACGCAACTTCTCAAGATGTCACCTGCCGGACCACCGCGGAGGTCATACTCCGCGTTTGGAAACGCCACTGTCGAGCCGCGCGCGCCGCGCCGCCGACGCCCGAGAATAAGTCCAAAAAGTGCCCTCTGGAGCCTGCGGGTGCGGGCGCGCTGGCACCGGCGCCACGCGTAGGAACACGTCCTCCAGGCGCTCCTCGCAGACGAGGGCGAACGCCTGCGCGTCGGGGTCCAGCCTCCTCCACGCCTCGTTCAGGTGTCCTGTCTTCTCGTAGCGCACGATCGAGCGAAATGATGACCACCTCCCTCTCTTCATTGCCTCTTACTGGGACCGAAGACGGGAGGCACGGTCGAGGCTGATCCCGCTTTGCCGCGCCTGATAGGGCACCACGGGGATCCACAGCCGATCTCCTGCTCCACGCACCAGTCGACCGAACTGCTGGTAGTCCCACGGGAACGGCTTCTCCGCAGACGAGCCTTTGGCCATGTGCGCAAACACTGGGTCCGCCCAGCGCATTCTCTCGGAGTTCATCACCACGGTGTCGTCCGCGCTCCCAACCTTGCTCCGTTTGATCTCCTCCCGGGGGAAGAGGTGCAGGCTCCAGTCTGCAGGGCCGCCCCGCGCCGGGGGGGCCAAGGAGCCCCGCCGGAGGCTGAGCAGCTCTGACGGCCTCGGGTAGGCGCCCACCATCAGCAGCACTCCAAAGCCCCGCGCGCCCGCGCCCGCTTCGCAGCAGCTCAAGCGCCAGCGCGGCCCACGCGGCCCAAGGCAGCGGCCGCCGACTGAACTTCGGGCAGAGCTTCCTCCACCCTCTGAGGCACTGAAGAGCCCGTGGCACGTGCCAGCTGCCACCTCGTCCGAAATTCGGGAAGGCGAGCATCAGGGCGGCCGCCATGTACTCGCCTCGCCACACGCGATCCCCGAGTCGATAACTCGAGTTCATCCACGCCACGAGACACTCGTCCACCTCGCCGTCCTCGCACAGCGCCATGCTCTCCCGGTCGGCGAAGTCCAGGAGCTCTTGCACGCATGACCGATACCGGACTCGGCTGGCCTCCGACACGCTCGCGGCCTCCAGGTAGCTCTGACCAGGAAGCATCGTCGTCTTGCCCTCGGCCATTCGCGCCACCCGCCGCCGCGCCCGCTGCCGCGCCAGCCGCTCCTCGTTGCGGTCCGCCTCAGTCACCGCCTCCTCGGACGCGGAGTCGCTCTCGTCGCCCCCGACGGTCGAGCCGGCGTCTGCGGCCCGCGCTGGCAGCCTTGCCTCCGCCTCCAGCGAGCCACTCGGCTCCAGCGTCGGCGCCTCCAGCCGCGACTGCAGGCTCGTCGCCCTCGCCGCTGTCAGCGTCCGGGCGCGCCTCGAGCTTCGGCTCCGCGCGCGGGCCTGCCTCTCTCCAGCTGCCGCCAGCGTCCGCGATCGCCCGACCGCGCCCCGCTGCACACCTGGCGCGGGCACCGCCAGTACCCTCTCCCGCCTCGCCTGGACGACGCGACCCAGGTCTTCGAGCCACGCGGCCGACGGAAGGTCGTCTAGGCTGTCTCGCTGTAGGATTCGGCTCGCTGCTCCTAGCCCCTGTCTCCTGCTCCTCCTCGCACCTCCTCTCTGCTCGCTGCTCTCGATCCTCTTCTCCTCCTCGCTCTCGCTGGTCATCATCTGCTCGCTCTCCTTGCTCCTGCTCGTGTACTTCTGATGGTAGCTCTCTGTCTCCTCTAAGTTCTGCTTCGCTCTCTCGCCCGTCTCGCTCATGCTCTTGATCGTCTGACTCGTCGTCTTGATGCCCGTCTTGAGTCCGTTCGTCGTCGTAGACCCCATCGACCTCTGAAACGCCCAGGCTTTGGCTCCGACCCTCTTTATCATCGCGTGGCCCTGGGGGGCAGGAGACGATCCAGGTGGCATCTTTCCTTTCGTCGTAGTCCCTGTCAAGCAATCGGCCCCCCTTGTCGCTGCTGTTCAGCTCTGAAGGCACCCGGCGGAAAACCAGCCGCGGGCCTCGCGCCTGCGCGAGAGAGCCAGCCCGCCCAATAAGTGCCAGCAGCTTGAAGCCCCTTGAACGGGACCCCCCCAGCGCCAGGGTCAGTGCCAGGTTATCTCCCACAAACAAAGCTCGTGCGTCGCGTCCATGTCGGCTCCTAGCAAGGCGCTCGATCCCCTTCAGCACGGCCCAGTCCTCCAGGTGGATGATCCCTTCTTCGTGCCTCCACTTGTCAGCCATCACTGTGCTCTACCGGGATCCATGTAGCAAATGAGCTGGCAACTCTGGGAACGACCTGTCGCGCTCCCACCTCAGCGCCTCGTCCTTGGCAGGCTCGGCTCGAGCCTGCAGCAGCCGGTCATCGCGCTCCTCCAGCCCTGCAGCAGCAAAAGCGTGGCTCCTCGCAGCCTCGGCCCCCGAGCGGAACCGTGCGCGTTCGGGCACTCGCCCAGCGTCCGCGACCGCCGCCACCAGCCACTGCGAGTAGGCCACCCCGAAGCCCCTCGGCGAGGCATCGGTCTGGTTGACGCCTGGCAGCCACTGATCATCCCACTTCGCCTCCAAGAAAACCATGACACCGCAGAAGGCCTCAAGCTCCTCCGTCACGCACAGCCACAGCGGCGCCTTCTCGTAGTACAGCTTCTTCACAAACCTGTAGGTGATGTGGAGAATGGACAGCGGCCCCCGCCTGATCAAGGCCACGAACGTCGCATGCCCCACCAGGACCTCGAGCTCCTGCCTGCTGCAGACACCGCGCCGCAACACCTCCTGGATGGAGTCCCGCACGCGCCAGAACCGCTTGGCCGTCGGCCGAGTCCGGCCCCGAGCTCCGTCCACCTCGATGCCTAGGACCACCCCGCACTCGCAGGCCACCTCCGTCTCGTGCACCGTCAGCCCCTGGCCCCCGAAGGTCTCGGTCACCGCGGTCAGACCCTTGCGACCGTACTCCTCGTCATCGGCCAGCACGCCTGAGTTGTCGACGTAGCAGTACTTGCCTCGTCCAGCGTCGCCTCCTCCTCCCTGGAGCGCCAGCGGCGACCCGCGATCCTGGGGAAGGTGCGCGCCCCTCAGCTTCTCGGTCAACTCCACCTGCCGGGCATTGGCCTCCCGCGCAAAGTAGAGGCTCCACGCCCAGCCCATGGGGAGGGACTGCGCGAGCGGGTACAACACCATGTCCTTCTCAACGCGCCGCCCTTTCCACCAGGCCAATCCGAGCTCGGAGGCCCATGCCTCGGGGCAGGCGAAGTACTCGTCGACCTTCGACTCCTTCGGGAACCTCAACCTGTGGAAGCAGTCCTTCACGTCCGAAGTCCCTAGGTAAACAGCACCCACTTCGCCTCCATGTCGCCCCACCCGACTGAGACCTTCTCCCGTCAGCAAGCTCACACTTGGGGGCGATGCAAACTGCTGGTTAGACGCCCGACTATTCAGGATGAGTCTCTGCTGCAAGCCGTCCTTTTTCTTCACCACAAACGCGCCCACGTCGCACTTTTTACTGGCACTGAGTCGCGCCAGCCCTATTCGTAGGAGTCTCTTGATTAGCCCCACGCACACCTTCCGATTGGACTTCAGCACGGGGTCTGCCCAGGGCCGCGCAGGGCCCGGAGTCCTGTCGAGAACGGTCACCTCCACGGGCGACCTCAGCATGTAGCTCTCGTACTCCTTCAAAAAAATCAACGCCGCATCCGGCAGCAGTCGATCCACTCGAGGTGCCCGCCTGACGTCCTCAGGGATGCTGAGCCGGTCGTGCACGAAGGAGGCCAAGTTAGCTCGGGCCTCGGCAGAAGGGGGCGTGACCCCGCAGCAGCTGCGGAAGGGCCTGCTGCGATGAAGTCGCGCTGCTCGAGCGCCGCCAGCCAGCCGCGGCCAACTGCGCCCGCCGCTGCATGTCCCGCCGCAATCCAGCTACCTCATCGAAGGTCGCCAGGCGCGGCTGCGCGCGGCCGGCTTCTCGCCAGCGCGCGCCGCGCATCCAACTCAAGCTCTGGATGGCGTCATTCGCGAGCCTCCTCACCTGCAGCTTCTCTCGCCTGGTCAGCCCGAAGCCGATGTCGGGGTCGAACTGCTGCACCTCGGGCACCGGGAAGCACTCTCCCGCGCCGCCGGCCACCTCTACCGCGCCTGGGGGCGGCCGCGCCCCAGGCTCTCGCCAGTCGCTCATCCAGCCCCGCCAGAGGCGCCCGCGCCTGCGGCAACTCCTGCTCCGGCCCTCGCTTTGGCCTTTGCCTTGGCAACTGCGCCCCCGGGGCCGCCCCTGGCGTCGCCCTTGGCTCCGGGCAGCCCGCCCAGCGCCAGCGCCGCGCCCGTCTCCTCGAGCTCCTGCCGAGCCCTGGCCACGCGTCCTCGCGTGGCCGCCGCCTGCCTCTCAGCCTCGTCTCTGGCAGCCCGATTGGCGAAAGACGCAGCTCTAGGCTCGCCACGTCGAAGGGGCCCACCACGCCCGTCAAGCACCGAGAGCTCTCCCAGGATGCCTGTCCTGGCGCAGGCCCACTCCGATAGGCCTCCACGACGGTCACCAGCCGCCTCGCAATCGACTCCAGCGCAGCGCCCCCCCCTGAGTTCAGGCCGTCGTAGGTCCCCGCCAACCAAAGTGCCTGCGCCAAGGTCGTCAGCTCGTGGCGCGCCCGATCCCCCCCAGAAATGCCGCGCTCCATGCAGAACGTCAGAAGCCGCATCTTCGGGTCGCCAGTATGCTGGACAGAGCGCCGACAGAGATGAAGACAGGTGCTCGCACCTCGGAGCTCGCAGCCCTCGAAGGTCAACTGCGAGCTCTCGTCCACGGCCTTCCTCCGCGACTTGAATATCACGCCCTCAGCGGCCCGCTCCGCGCAGAACGTTCGTGCGTCGCCCTCTGCCTCGGCCTCCTGCGCAGGCGGCGTCGCCGCGCCCCGGGCCCTCTCTGCCCCGGCGTCCGCCGCCGCGAACTCCGCGCGCAGATCGCCGCTCCGGCCACCATCCCCCCGCGCAGCGCCGGGCTCGCCCTCGGGCGGGGGCGAAGGGAGGCAGTGCTCCGACGCCGCCTCAATAGCAGAGCGCCGCCAGCTCTCTACCGCATCTGCCGGCACCTTCTCGCACATCACGCACCCGCCGTTCTCCAGCTGCGCCGGCGCCCGAAAGCTGCCCAGCCCGACAGCTCGACCTCCAACGACGGGATCTCCTAGCTTCATGCCGTTGGGCGCCCTCACCTCCGCGGCCGCGCGCGCGCAATCGCCGAGCACGCCTCCTGGACCCGCGCCGAAGTCGCTCGACCCCGCCGAGCCGTCAGCCGGCACCAGAGCAGCCCCCTCCGAGCTCACCACCTCCACGCTTTCGTCCGCCGCGTCCGCGAGCGCAGGCCGCGTCGCGGCCTCATCGCCACTCGCCTCCGCAGCCCGCAGCTCCGAGCTCACGCCCTTGCTGGCGAGCCTCCGCCTGACACGCCCGAACACGCTGTCTTCGACCGCCAGCTCGCGCCCATTCCAGTCCAGGAAGGTGGTGGGCTCCTCGCCGAACCGACCTCCTAAACGTTCTGGCAAGCCCCGCTTCGCCCGATACTTCATCGCCTCATCGCGCCCTTCCAGCACGCGCGCCAGCACCTCTCCTGCGGTCATCGCCCCTCGGAAGCGAACGACGCCTCCTCTCAGGTCGGCCGGCCAGCCCCCGGTCAGATCGCAGATCCACGCCCAGTCCTTTACCCACTCTATGTACAGGTCATCATCGGCAGTGAGAATCACCCAACCTTCAAACCAAATGTCTTTCCGCGTCGGCCACAGCAGCAGCCTCTCGTGAGAGTGCGTGTCACCCTCGAACCGAACGAGCAACCGCCGCCCAGGGACGCGTCCAGCACGACTAGTCATGGCGCTCCCGAACTCCTCGCGGCGCCCTGGGCTCAGATCGCCGACGCCCGCAGCTCCAGCCTAGCAGCCAGCTCACCGCCGCCAGCGCCGCCGCCAGCGCGAGCGTCCGCTCCGACTCCGCATCGCGGTCTCGGCGGATGCCCTCCACCAGCGCGGCCACTTCGGCCGCCCCGAGGCTCGCCGGGCAGCCCCGAGGCCCAGGCGGGGGCGGCGGCGGGCACTCTGGGCAGCCAGGCCACCCAGGCCACGGCGGGCAGCTCGGGCAGCGCGCCTGCGCCTCCCCGACCAGGAGCTGCCTCGCCGCCTCCGCGGCCGCACCCCGAATCGCCTCGCGAAGAAGCCCGGCGGCCGCTGGCGCCAGGTCCCCATATGGCGCCACCGAAAGCTTGAGCAAGAGCGGTTGCGGGCAAGAGAAAGGCAAGTCCCGCAAGACACGACAGACGCAACTGAAGTCACAGCAATATCGCGGTACCCACAAACATAAGAAAAACCATGGGACATTAACGATTCTACCCTCTGTGGGCTCTCTCGGGACGGCTCTCGCAGCTCTCTTGGGCTGTTCTTGGAGCCTCGTCGGGGTCTTTCTGGGGCCTCTCAAGGATCGTGTGTGTGTGTCTATGTGTGTGTCTGTCTGTCTGTCTGTCTGTGTGTGTGTGTGTGTGAATGTGTGTGTGTGTGTGCGTGCGTGCGTGCGTGTGTGTGTGTGAATGTGTGTGTGTGTGTGTGTGTGTGTGTGTGTGTGTGTGTGTGTGTGTGTGTGTGTGTGTGTGTGTGTGTGTGTGTGTGTGTGTGTGTGTGTGTGTGTGTGTGTGTGTGTGTGTGTGTGTGTGTGCGTGTGCGTGCGTGCGTGCGTGCGCGTGCGTGCGTGCGTGCGTGCGTGCGTGCGTGCGTGCGTGCGCGTGCGCGTGCGCGTGCGTGCGTGTGCGTGTGCGTGTGCGTGTGCGTGTGCGTGTGCGTGTGCGTGTGCGTGTGCGTGTGCGTGTGCGTGTGCGTGTGCGTGTGCGTGTGCGTGTGCGTGTGCGTGTGCGTGTGCGTGTGCGTGTGCGTGTGCGTGTGCGTGTGCGTGTGCGTGTGCGTGTGCGTGTGGGTGTGGGTGTGGGTGTGGGTGTGGGTGTGGGTGTGGGTGTGTGTGTGGGTGTGGGTGTGGGTGTGGGTGTGGGTGTGGGTGTGGGTGTGTGTGTGTGTGTGTGTGTGGGTGTGTGTGTGTGTGTGTGTGTTTGTGCGTGTGTTGGGGGCCTCTGGGTGGTCCAGGAGGCCTTTCGGAGGTCTCTGGAAGCCTTCTTGGGGCCTTCTTGGCCCGCCTTGGGGCCGTCCTGAGGGTCTCTTGGGTGGTCTTGGGGCGGTCTGGGGAGCCTCGTCGGCGCTCTTGGACCGTTGGAAGCTCGATAACGCGAAAACATCGAAAAACACCACAATGAAAATCTACGGCCTCTTCGGGCCGTGCCAGGACGCATCTCGGACCTCTCTTGGGCGTCTCGGGCCCTCCTGGAGCGCTGTGGAGGCCACCCGGAACGCCCGGGGGAGCGGCACTGGGAGCGTTTCCGAGATGTCAGGGGGAGGCGTGGCACCCGGGGCCCAGGGGGGCTCTATTGGGGTGCCTCTTGGGGCGTCTTCGGGGCCTCTTCTTGTGTTTTTGCGGGTCCTTGGGGAGTGGGCGCTTCTTGGAGCCTCTTGGGGTCTCCTGGGGGCCTCCTGGGCCAAGACGCTCAAATCTTCGGTTCCTCGCCCCCGTCTTGGGCGCCGACTCGGGGCGTTCTTGGGCGGTTTGGGCGCCTCGGGGGCCGTCTTAGCCCCTTCGTGGGCCGTCTTGGAGCCCTCTTGGGGGCGTCCTCGACCGGCTTCGTGGGCCGTCTTGGACGCAGTGGAAACCCAAAAGGCGAACGCGCCAAAAATATCAGTTTCCCAAAGGAAATCGAAGATTTGTGCTTATTGGGGCTCTGTTGGAGTGCCCCGTGGGGCGTGTTCGGGGACTCTTTTTGTGTTTTTGGGAGTCTCTTGGGGACCTCTTGGGGCTTCTTTGGCGCTTCTTGAAGCCTCTTGGGGTCTCCTGGGTGCCTCTCGGGCCAAATGGCTCGCATTTTCGGTTCCCCGTTCCCATCTTGGGCGCCGACTTGGGGCGTCGTTGAGCGGTTTAGGCGTCTCGTGGGCCGTCTTGGCCCCCTCGTGGGCCGTCTTGGAGCCCTCGTGGGGGCATCCTCGACCGTCTTGGGTGCCTCTTGGGCCGTCTTGGACGCAAAGGAAGCCTAAAAGGCGAACGCGCCGAAAATATAAGTTTTCCGATCGGAGATCGACGATGTTTGCTTATCTAAGACGCCTACGGCGAAACACCGCCGCCCCCAGCCTCTTTGGAAGCGCCTATGTGGCCGAACGTTGAGGCCAGATCTGCCGAGCTATCAGACCATGTGTTCCCCGAGTCGGTTTGGAAAGCCTTTGGGAAACACGTTGGCATCTTGAAAATCATCTTGGCCGTCTGGAGGCCATTTGGACACTTTCGGCCCTTCTTGGAGGACGTCTTGGAGGGCTCTTGGACCGTCTTGGAGGCCATCTTGAGCGTCTTGGAGGCCTCTTGGGGCGTCATGGGGCCATCTTGGAGGCCTCTTGGGCGATGTGTGGGCGATCTTTGGGGGCTCGTGGGCCGTATCGGGCCTTCGGATGGCCGGAAAGAAGCAAATTCCAAAATCCTTGAAAAACCAAAGGCAAATCAATGTGGTTGGCCTTTTCTGGCCTTCTTGGAGGCCCTCTTGGAGGCCTCTGGGGCCAGCATCGATCCAACTTCGGCCATCTTGGTGGGCTCATGGCCCGTCTGACGCGGTCGGAAGCCGTTTGGAATGCCTCTCTGGGCCGACTTGGGGCCCTCTTGGGGTGCTCCAGAGCCGTCTTAGAAGCCATCTTGGGCGTCTTGGAGGCCTCTTGGGTCGGCTTCGTGCCCTCTTGGGGCCGTCTTGGGGGCCTCTTGGGCAGTCCTGAGGCCATCCTGGAGGCCTCTTGGGCGCTGTGGGGGCGTTCTTGGGGGCCTCTTGAGCCGTCTTGGGTCGTCGGAAAGCCGAAAAGGAGCAAATGCGAACAACCTTTCAAAACCTAAAGCAAATCAATGGCTTTGGCCTCTTCGGGCCCTCCTGGAGGACCTCTCGGAGGCCTCTTGAGCCGTCTTGGATGCCTCTTGGGCACCTCTTGGGCCGTCTTGGGCCGTCTTGGAGGTTTCTCGGGCGGACTAGGAGACGTCTCCTCATCTCTTGGGCGGACTTGGAGGCCATCTTGGACCATCTTGGAGGCCATCTTGGGCCAACGTGGCCATCTTGGAGGCCATCTTGAGCCGTCTTGGCGGATCTTTGCCGGGATTGTGGAATTTTCGGGTGCCCGGCGGGACGGGCCGAACCGCCAAAAGGAGTTGCTTTGGAATAAGAACCAAAACGAAAACCGCAATAATCTAGCACGCCAGGCACCCCTGCCATGACTCGACAGGGGGCGGCGGATTTGGGGCTTCATTGGGGTGCCACTTGGGAGCCTCCTGGGGGCCTCCTGGGGACCTCTTGGGGCCTCCTGGGAGCCTCTGGGCACGAAAGCTCGGGGTTGTGCACCTCTGGGGCCCCTCTGGGGCTCGTCCTGGGGCTCTCTTGGGCTGTCTTGGGGGCCTCTCGGGCCGTCTTGGGGTAGTCTTGGAGCCCTCCTGGGAGCCTTTGGGGCAGTTTTGGGGACCTCTTGGGCCGTCCTGGACGCAGTGGAGGCCCAAAAGGCGAACGCGCAAAAATAGCAGTTTCCCCATCGGAAATCTAAAAGGTTTGCTTATTGGGGCTCTGTTGGAGTGCCCCTTGGGGCGTGTTCGGGGATTCTTTTTGCGTTTCTGCGAGTGGGAACCTCTTGGGGCTTCTTTGGCGCTTCTTGAAGCCTCTTGGGGTCTCCTGGGTGCCTCTTGCGCCAGTACGCTCGCATTTTCGGTTCCCCGTTCCCATCTTGGGCGCCGACTTGGGGCGTTGTTGAGCGGTTCGGGCGTCTCGTGGGCCGTCTTGGCCCCCTCGTGGGCCGTCTTGGAGGCCATCTTGGGGACATCCTCGATCGTTTTGGGTGCCTCTTGGGCCGTCTTGGACGCAGTGGAAGCCCAAAAGGCGAACGCGCAACAAAATAACAGTTTCCCGATAGGAAATCAACAATGCTTGCTTATTTGGGGCTCAATTGGGGTGCCTCTTGAGGGCCTCCTGGGGACCTCTTGGGGCCTCCTGGGAGCCTCTGGGGGCGAAAACTTCGAATTTGAATACAATTGTGCACCTCTGGGGCCCCTCTGGGGCTCGTCCTGGGGCTATCTTGGGCTGTCTTGGGTGCCTTTCGGGCCGTCTTGGGACCCTCTTGGGGTCGTCTTGGAGCCCTCTTGGGAGCCTGTGGGGCAGTCTCGGGGGCCTCTTGGGCCGCCTTGGACGCAGTGGAAGCCCAAAAGACGAACGCGCCAAAACAAATCAGTTGCCCCATGGGAAGTCGGCGATTGTTGCTCATTGGGGCTCTCTCGGGGCGCTTCTTTCTGCCCCCCCCTCCCCCTTCAAAAAAAAGAAGATGCCCGCCGAGTTCTTTAGGTTTGATGTTACCTGGCGGTCGATCCGCAGAGCGAGCAGAACGTAGTTCCGTAGGCCCCCCCCCCCTCCGCTATTCCCGCTTGCGGCAGCGCCCATCTGCCCCTCGGCGCGCTGGGTGCACGCGCAGGCAGCGCTTCCAAACTCGGCGGCGAAGGGGGGCCCTTTCTACGGGAACGAAAGAACGCGGAACTCCACGCAGTGGCTAGCAGTTCGCGCTTGCGGGAGGCGACGCGCAGACGAGCTTCAAAGGCCTGCCCGGGGGAGCCAACTCTCTCCAACCTCCGAGCATTGAGGGCAGCAATGACGGCGTCTATACAAGCAGCTCTTTTATATTTGACAAAGAGGCACCAGAATGGAGGAGGGGTCAAGAGGAGAACCAGCGGCGCCTCACATCCCCATTCCTGACACATATATCGTCACCCATCCACACCTTGATCGGTGCTTCTAGTAGGG